TCATTTAAGGAAGAATGTATGAACATATTTGCATATATACATATAAAATATCTGTGGAATGCTTTTGGATGTTTCCAAGTAGGGGAGCTGGAAGACTGAAGAACAGTTATGGAAGGGACACTTCTTTTTTTTTTTTTTTTTTTTGAGATGGAGTCTCGCTCTGTCACCCAGGCTGTAGTGCAGTGGCCGGATCTCAGCGTAAACCCAGGTTTACGCCATTCTCCTGCCTCAGCCTCCCGAGTAGCTGGGACTACAGGCACCCACCACCTCGCCCAGCTAGTTTTTTGACTTTTTTAGTAGAGACAGTGTTTCACCGTGTTAGCCAGGATGGTCTCAATCTCCTGACCTCGTGATCCGCCCATCTCGGCCTCCCAAAGTGCTGGGATTACAGGCTTGAGCCACCGCGCCCGGCCCACTGGACACTTAATTTTATATTAGAGTTTGTTGGGGATTTTTTTTTTTTTTGCAGGGGCGAGTGGGGGCTACCGTTTGAATTTTGGAGTAAGGCTACATTACCTAATCAAAAGCTTTTTTTTTTTCTTTTTTTCAGATGGAGTCTCACTCTGTCACCCAGGCTGGAGTGCAGTGGCGCAATCTCGGCTCACTGCAAACTCTGCCTCCTGGGTTCAAGCGATTCTCCTGCCTCAGCCTCCTGAGTAGCTGGGATTACAGGCACGCGCCAGCATGCCCGGCTAATTTTTGTAATTTTAGTAGAGACAGGTTTTCCCCATATTGACCACGCTGATCTTGAGCTCCTGGCCACAAGTGATCTGTCTACCTTAGCCTCCCAAAGTACTGAGATTACAGGTGTGAGCCACCACTCCTGGCCAAAAAAATTTTTTTTTAATTATTGAGGTGTGGTGGCATGCTCCTGTGGTCCCAGCTACTTGGGAGACTGAGGTGGGACAATCGCTTGAGGCTGCACTCCAGCCTGGGCAGCAGAGCAAGACCATCTCCAAAAATAAAAATAAAATGAATGTGTCTTGACAAAACCATGAAGTCTTTACAACTGTTAACCATCCTGAGGGGCCTCAGTAGCATTGTAGGCAATTCCTATGGAACTATTCTGGCCCAATCCTATTTGTCCCGTTGGTACCCAGAGCACCTCCTAAACCTTCTTATAGAAGTCACAGTGCTGACAAAAGAATACTCTTCTCAGTGGCAAATGGGGTGTGTCTCGTCTATATCTATGTGCTCTTATTTTCCAGGGATGTTGGTGGTAAATGTAACGTGGAGGAACAAGACATATGTAGGTACACTCCTTGACTGCACACGACATGATTGGGCACCCCCAAGGTAAGCACTTACAGCTATTTAGTTTATATTAAGTCTGAACCACTCTAATTGGTGATCTCTTATACTTTTATCCTGCTAGAATTGTACACCCAGCTTTTAAGGGACACGATGGTGTAGATAACCAGGGAAAGCATTGTATTTATCTGACATTCAAGAAGACTGAATGGCTGGGTGCAGTGGCTTACGCCTGTAATCCCTGCACTTTGGGAGGCTGAGGCGGGCAGATCACCTGAGATCAGGAGTTCAAGACTAGCCTGACCAACATGGAGAAACCCCATCTCTACTAAATATACAAAATTAGCCAGATGTGGTGGTGCATGCCTGTAATCCCAGCTACTCGAGAGGCTGAGGCAGGAGAATCACTTGAAGCCAGGAGGCGGAGGTTGCAGTGAGCCAAGATCACGCCATTGCACTCCAGCTTGGGCAACAAAAAGCGAAACTCCATCTCAAAAAAAAAAAAAAAAAAAAGAAGATGAATTGTGTATGAAAGTGTTCAGGGGGTGCTCACTTCAGAGGTACATATACTAAAATTGGAACAATATAGAAAAGATTAACATGACCCCTGCACAAGGGTGACATGCAAATTTGTGAAGTGTTCCATATTTTTAAAATCAGCAAAAAAAAAGTGTTGAGGGGATGCATTGGGGGAATGGGGAGAAAATCCTATTTAAGCCTTTGACTGGAGTTATTAAAGCCACCTTGAGACCATCTAACCATAGGTGAGCAAACATTCATTGACAGTAAGCTATTTCTCAGAAATTTGAACTCAAGAACATGTTTAGTTTTATAAACTCTACTAGAACATATGGGTTTCACAAGGACCTTTTCATGTTGCAATTTGACCTTTAGATGGATATTTCAATCAATGGCACCTAATAGCTTGTTCCTAATATTAGTACCCACTTTGTCAGGGTTTGGGGAACCCAGGCATTGGGGGTAATTTACAACTAACATACACGTAACATCCTAGGAGCTTACCAATTAATGCCGTTCCCATGCAGTCACAAGTTCCTTTATTGAATCATATTCATTGAAAATGGTAGTTATTATCTGGACAGTTCTTTTAGGAAAAGTATCTTAAACCTTCATCTGCCCATTGTTCCCATGAAACTAAGATGGGCAGAAATGTCCCAAGGAAAAGTATTGTAAAGTTCTTGATCTCCTTTTCTCAGATGTGATTAGGCTCTACCGAGGGCTATTTATGCCTCCTAATTTTCAGAGATGCTGGGCCAGGTTTCTAGAGGCTTAGACATATTTTATAAGACTATGTTTAGGCTGGGCGTGGTGGCTTACGCCTGTAATCCCAGCACTTTGGGAGGCTGAGGTGGGTGGATCACCTGAGGTCAGGCAGGCCGAAACCAGCCTGGTCAACATGGTGAAACCCTGTCTCTACTAAAAATACAAAAATTAGCCGGGCGTGGTGGCGGATGCCTATAATCCCAGGAGGGCCAGGACATATTTACAGATCATGTTGTTTAGGCTGGGCAGGTGGCTTACGCCTGTAATCCCAGCACTTTGGGAGGCTGAGGTGGATTCACCTGAGGCTGTGCGGTGTGGCCGGGAAACTAGCCTGGAGTTTCAACACAGGAAACCTGTCTCCCACTAAAAATACAAAAATTAGCTAGCGTGGTGGCGGATGCCTACAATCCCAGCTACTGGGGAGGCTGAGGCAGGAGAATTGCTTCTTTGAACACAGAAAGGAGGCACTGGCTCTCCAGATTACCCACTGCACTCCAGTCTGGGCGATAGAGCAACACCTGTCCCAAAAAAAAAAAAAAAAAAAGACTATATTCCAGGACTATATTAGTTGCTCCTGAGTTAAGAACTGGGAAGCAGACATTAAAATAAGTTAGTAAAAGCTCTTTACAATTTTTGCATTTCAGAGAAACTCCATTGAAGAACTTTTATTTCTGCTTTGGCAAGAATCCAGAGAGATAGGTTTGAGTGAGCAGTTGATAATGTGGAAGCAGTAAGTAGCTTTACAGTAGGACTGTCTGAACCCACAGGAGATATTTGACAAAATTGCCTTTTTTCTGCAATAGTTTTATTCCTACTGTCTATGAAGCAATCCTACCTGGCAAAGTATACTCCCAGATGAGAGTCAAAACCATCTTTGATCCTTGCCTACAAGGGAACCAATCTTAGCTAAAGGTTTAATTCTAAGCAGTGTTTTAAGCTCCATGAAAAGCTACTTTAGGGCCTATGAGGAATGACCCCTAGGTGCAGATCTCCAGACATTCAAAGAACTCGTGTACTCTTGGTTATATCTGATGTTTAGGGAACTCTTAAATGGATAGGTGCTTTGTTCTACCTTTCTATATCTTCATAGTGAGGTATGCAAGAAAAAGGCTTTGGGCTAAAGGTAGAGCTACAGTCTTGTCATATGTTGCCATTAATCAATGATGTTACCTTGGACAAGTCACTTAGCATGCCTGGCCTCAATTTCCTGGATGATCTCTAACATCTTTTCTGAAACCATGACTATGGCTGTATATAGGAAATGTAGACATGACTGTCTTATGGAACAGACTGCATGGCTTTAGAGGTAAATGTTGGAGAATAATTTGCAGCTAACATGCATCCCAGGAGTTCACCATTTAGTGCAGTTCCCAGTCAGAATTTCTTTTAACAAATCATATTCATTGAAAATGATGGTCACCATCTGGACAGTTCTGGAGCCTACAGCTAAACTGGTTTGAAGATGTTTTCTCTTCTTAATAATATCCTGTTGTGTTTATCCTTTGCCAAGGTTCTGTGACTCCCCGACCAGTGACCTGGAAATGCGCAATGGTCGGGGTAGAGGCAAACGCATGCGTCCCAACAGTAACACTCCTGTCAATGAGACAGCCACAGCCTCTGACAGCAAAGGGACCAGTAGCAGCAGCAAAACCCGGGCAGGAGCCAATAGCAAAGGCCGACGGGGCAGCCAGAATTCTTCAGAGCATCGCCCACCTGCCAGCAGCACTTCTGAGGATGTCAAGGCCAGCCCTTCCTCAGCTAATAAGCGGAAAAACAAACCCCTTTCAGACATGGAGCTGAACTCTAGCTCAGAGGACTCCAAAGGGAGCAAGCGTGTCCGTACTAATTCCATGGGCTCAGCCACTGGCCCCCTTCCTGGGACCAAGGTAGAACCCACTGTTCTGGACAGAAACTGTCCCTCCCCAGTCCTGATTGACTGTCCCCACCCAAACTGCAACAAGAAGTACAAGCACATCAATGGACTTAAGTACCACCAAGCTCATGCCCATACAGATGATGACAGCAAGCCGGAAGCGGATGGGGACAGTGAGTACGGAGAGGAACCTATTCTCCATGCAGATCTCGGGAGCTGCAATGGTGCATCTGTCTCACAAAAAGGTTCCTTGTCCCCTGCCCGCTCAGCTACCCCCAAAGTTCGACTTGTAGAGCCCCACAGCCCTTCTCCTTCAAGCAAATTCAGCACAAAAGGCCTCTGTAAGAAAAAGTTGAGTGGGGAAGGGGACACAGACCTTGGGGCCTTGTCCAATGATGGCTCTGATGATGGACCCTCAGTGATGGATGAAACAAGCAATGATGCCTTTGATTCTTTAGAAAGGAAGTGTATGGAAAAAGAAAAATGTAAAAAACCCTCTAGTTTAAAACCTGAAAAGATTCCTTCCAAGAGCTTAAAGTCAGCCCGTCCCATTGCCCCTGCCATCCCCCCACAGCAAATCTACACCTTCCAGACAGCCACCTTCACAGCAGCAAGCCCAGGCTCTTCCTCAGGCTTGACTGCCACAGTGGCACAAGCCATGCCCAACAGTCCCCAACTCAAGCCCATTCAGCCCAAGCCCACTGTTATGGGAGAACCTTTCACAGTCAACCCTGCCTTGACTCCAGCGAAGGACAAGAAAAAGAAAGACAAAAAAAAGAAGGAATCTTCAAAGGAACTTGAAAGTCCTCTGACCCCTGGGAAGGTGTGTCGAGTAGAAGAAGGCAAAAGTCCATTCAGGGAATCTTCAGGAGATGGGATGAAAATGGAGGGACTCCTAAATGGCTCATCAGACCCCCACCAAAGCCGACTGGCTAGCATCAAGGCTGAAGCCGACAAGATCTACAGTTTCACAGATAATGCCCCCAGCCCTTCCATTGGAGGCAGTAGCCGCCTTGAAAACACTACCCCTACTCAGCCCCTGACTCCCTTACATGTAGTGACCCAGAATGGAGCTGAAGCCAGCTCAGTCAAAACTAACAGCCCTGCATACTCTGACATCTCTGATGCTGGGGAGGATGGGGAGGGCAAGGTAGACAGTGTCAAATCAAAGGATGCTGAACAGTTGGTTAAAGAAGGGGCTAAGAAAACTCTCTTTCCCCCTCAGCCTCAGAGCAAAGACTCACCATATTACCAAGGCTTTGAGAGTTACTATTCTCCAAGCTACGCACAGTCCAGCCCTGGGGCTCTGAACCCCAGCAGCCAGGCAGGAGTGGAGAGCCAGGCCCTGAAGACAAAAAAGGATGAGGAACCTGAGAGCATCGAAGGAAAAGTGAAGAACGATGTTTGTGAGGAAAAGAAGCCCGAGCTGAGCAGTTCCAGTCAGCAGCCCTCGGTCATCCAGCAGCGTCCCAACATGTATATGCAGTCCCTGTACTATAACCAGTATGCCTATGTGCCCCCCTATGGCTACAGCGACCAGAGTTACCACACCCACCTTCTGAGCACTAACACAGCTTACCGGCAGCAGTATGAAGAACAGCAGAAACGCCAGAGCTTAGAGCAGCAGCAGCGGGGAGTGGACAAGAAGGCAGAGATGGGCCTGAAGGAGCGTGAGGCAGCACTCAAGGAAGAGTGGAAGCAAAAGCCGTCAATTCCACCAACTCTCACCAAGGCCCCCAGCCTGACAGACCTTGTGAAGTCAGGACCTGGCAAGGCCAAGGAGCCAGGGGCTGACTCAGCCAAATCAGTCATCATTCCCAAGTTAGATGACTCTTCAAAACTCCCGGGCCAGGCCCCTGAAGGCCTTAAAGTGAAGCTGAGTGATGCCAGCCACCTAAGCAAGGAGGCCTCTGAGGCCAAGACAGGCGCTGAGTGTGGTCGACAGGCAGAGGTGGATCCAATACTCTGGTACCGACAGGTAACTGTTGCTCTGACAGATGGTTATCATACGGTATTTCTACTTCCTCCCAGGCAACAGTTACCTGTCGGTACCAGAGTATTGGATCCACCTCTGCCTGTCGACCACACTCAGCGCCTGTCTTGGCCTCAGAGGCCTCCTTGCTTAGGTGGCTGGCATCACTCAGCTTCACTTTAAGGCCTTCAGGGGCCTGGCCCGGGAAGTTTGAGGTCATCTAACTTGGGGTGTTGGCTGATTTGGCCTGAGTCAGCCCTGGCTCCTGGCCTTGCCAGGTCCTGACTTCCACAAGGTCTGTCAGGCTGAGGGCATGGTGAAGTTGAGGTGGAGATTAGCGGCTTTTGCTTCCACTCTTCATGAGTGCTGCCTCACGCTCTTCAGGCCCATCTCTGCCTTCTTGTCCACTCCCCGCTGCTGCTGCTCTAAGCTCTGGCGTTTCTGCTGTTCTTCATACTGCTGCCGGTAAGCTGTGTTAGTGCTCAGAAGGTGGGTGTGGCCAACTCTGAATCGCTGTAGCCATAGGGGGCATAGGCATACTGGTTATAGTACAGGGACTGCATATACATGTTGGGACGCTGCTGGATGACCGAGGGCTGCTGACTGGAACTGCTCAGCTCGGGCTTCTTTTTCCTACAAACATCGTTCTTCACTTTTCAACGATACTCTCAGGTTCCTCATCCTTTTTGTCTTCAGAAATTTGCTCTCCACTCCTGCCTGCTGGGGTTCGAGCCCCAGGGCTGGACTGTGCGTAGCTTGGAGAATAGTAACTCATGAAGCCTTGGTAATATGGTGAGTCTTTGCTCTGAGGCTGAGGGAAAAGGGATTTCAGGCATGCACCACCATGCCTGGCTAATTTTTGTATTTTTGGTAGAGATGGGGTTTCATCATGGAAGGAACCTGTGGAAGGAGAAATCAAACATTCAAAGAGATGGGAGAGGTAGAGGAAGCTCTGCTTTAGTGAGCTTGATTAGGCGGGCATCAGCTTTCCAAGGCACAGGCTGAGGTATTTTCTAACATAGTGTCTTTGGCTGAGACTGTTGGCTTGACCTTTCCTTACTGAGCTCTACAGGAAAAATTAGCTAAGGGATATTAGGAACACGGCTCTGTTTCCTGCAGCCAACTTCCATAGATCCGACACTTTTTTGAACTGGTCTCAGATTCATCTTGGAGAAGTGATACGATAAAGTGGAAAGATCACAGAATCTGGAGTTAGAGCCTTGGGTTCAAAACCTTATTCTGAGACTTACCAGCTTAGTAACCTTGAACAAATAAATGTTTTGAGCTTCAATTTCTTCATCATCAAAAATGAAGATATCAACACTTATTACTTAAGGTGATGGGGAGGATTTAAAAAGATAATATGCATAAATCTCAGAGGACAGCGCCTGGCTGTCAGGGAGCACCCAACAAATGCAACTATGATTTTTATATTGACAGGTGTGAGTGACAGGGAGAAAGGAACGCCTCAAGGGTAAGAAATTTCCTATTTCTGTTTGAAATGCTTAGTTCTGTTTAGAGTGTGCTTTATAATAATGTCACCAGAATGTTGAGACTATTTATGCTGCTGTAGGAAGCTGCAAGCCCTAAGGAGTGAGGCTAAAGAGGCTAAAGACTATCATTATGGGTCATTCAAGGAACTATGGGTTAGGGTGGCTACCTCATAGAACGACTCAGTGAAAAAAGGGCTGTCATCTAAGTGAGCCTCAATATGCCTTGGGGCTGAGCAAGAAAACTCTGGATGTGAAATCTGTGCTTCATTCGCCCTTCCAGTGAATGGAATAGTGGCTGGCACTTGGTGCTATACCTGGGTAGTTCTGCATCATCACAGCAGGCATGCTCCGGTAGCTGGGGTGGTTGGGGTCGTAGGACTGACTGTAGGAATAGCCGTGCATGTAGGGGATGTAGGACTGGTGCTGGGTGAGTGGGGAGGACACAGGCACATGGACACTTGGCCGGGGCTCCTTGCTCCCAAGGCGAGACTCCTCTGATGTGGGCAGCTTGCAGTCACTACTTGTGCTTTCCTTCCCATCTTCCTTGGGGACAGAGTCCTTACTCCGACTCCTTTCCTCCTTCAATTTGCGGTCCCGCTCCTCCTTCCACCGCTCATCCTCTGACTTGATGTCTGAGTACTTGGCAGGATAAACATATGTCCACATCCGGGGCTCTGCCTCCTACAAAAATCACAGAACAACGACTGGGTGTTGTAGAGATAAGACAGATATATTTCAAGCCCAGGGTCCCAGTAGAACCACCAGAGCAGATAATTACTAGACACCTGGGGCAGAGTAGGATCTTGGCCTCTATTGATCTTGTTTATATTCCAACTCTGCTCCCTTTTGGTTAAAAAGCCCCCGCCCCCACCTCTGCACCCACCCACAGGGGACAAGATGGCGCAGGGGGAGAAAAGGAAAATCCGTCCGTGTATCAGTGGATGTTTTCTAGGTAAGAACAAACATTCTGGGGAAATGACTGAAATAGGAGAGGCTGCCCCTTCCAAGATGTTTAGGTTGTTTCACTATTTCAGAGCACGCTCAGTGGGGTGGAAAGCTTGTAAGTGACACTCAGATCAGAGGAGGGAGGGAGGCATAACTATTATACCAAGAGGGAAGGGAAGACATTCTAAGTCTCATGAGCAGAGCAAGATATGAGATTCCAAGTTCCTAGTTCTAACTCAACCTATAAAATCCTTGTTAAAGAAACTCAGTAACTGAGTATACTTTGTACCTACTCTAAAAAAATAGAGAGACCATCAATAACTTATTTCACAGGAACCAAACAGTGGAAGAAACACAGACAAGGAATCGAGATACCTCGGTTCTAATCCTGGCTTGGCTAGTGAGGTCTTAAGAAACCCTAGACAAATTAAGCTAACTTGCCTGGGCCTTTCTTGTCAAATGGAAAAAACACCTGCTATGGATATAAAAGTGCTTTTTAAAAAACATTAATATGAATCCCAGTGCTTTGGGAGGCTGAGGCGGGAAGACTGCTTGAGGCCAGGAGTTCAAGACCAGCCTGGGCAACATAGTGAGACCTCTCTCTACAAAAAATTAAAACATCTGGGTGTGGTGGCATGCATCTGTAGTCCTGGTTAATTGGGAGGCTGAGGCAGGAAGATTGCTTGGGCCTAGGAGTTGGAAATTGCTGTGAGCTATGACTATGTCATTGCATTCCCGCCTGGGCAATAGAGAGGGACTCTGGTCTCTATAAAAACATAAAAATAAAACAATTGGCTGGGTGCAGTGGCTCATGTCTGTAATCCCAGCACTTTGGGAGGCTGAGGCAGGTGGATTACTTGAGGTCAGGAGTTTGAGACCAGCCTGACCAACATGGTGAAGCCCCATCTCTACTAAAAATACAAAAAAAATTAGTTGGGTGTGGTGAACGTTGCAGTGAGCCAAGATAGCACCACTGCACTCTAGCCTGGGCAACAGAGTGAGACTCCATCTCGAAAAAATAACATTAAAATAAAATAAAAAACATTAAAATGGTTTATAAAGGTAAAGAATCCTTAAGATTACACATCTCTCCTGCTAATCTCAATTCCGTTGAACCCCTATATAAGGACAGCCCTTATTTGTGAGGAAGACAGATGATTATCATGCGGTATTCTACTTCCTCCCAGGCAACAGTTACCTGTCGGTACCAGAGTATTGGATCACACTCTGCCTGTCGACCACACTCAGGCGCCACCTCTTGGCAAGCCTCAGAGGCCTCTTGTAGGTGGCTGGCATCACTCAGCTTTACTTTACACAGAAGTACCAGGGCCTGTGCCCGGAAGTTTGATCATCAGCAGAATGATGACGGTTGCCCCGGCTGAAGTCAGCCCCTGGCTCCTTAGCCTTGCCAGGTCTCCTGGCTTACCAAGGTCATCGGGCTGGGGGCCTTCTCTGAGAGTTGAGGTGGAATTGACAGCTTTGCTTCCACTCTTCCTTGAGTGCTGCCTCGCTCCTTCAGGCCCATCTGCCTTCTTATCCTCCCAGCTGCTGCTCTAGGCTCTGGCGTTTTCTGCTGTTCTTCATACTGCTGCCGTGCTGTTGTAGTACTCAGAGAGTGGTGTGGTAACTCTGATCGCTGTAGCAGCCATAGGCTGTAGGCATACTGGATATCATTACAGGTGCATATACATGTTGGGACTGCTGGATGACCGAGGCTGCTGACTGGAACTGCTCAGCTCGGAGCTTCTTTTCCTCACAAACATGGGTTCTTCACTTTCCTTCGATGCTCTCAGGTTCCTCATCTTTTTGTCTTCAGGGCCTGGCTCTCCACTCCTGCTCTACCTGGCTGCTGGGGTTCATTCAGAGCCCCAGGCTGGACTGTGCGTACACTGGAAAATAGTAACTCTCAAGCCTTGGTAATATCTGGTGATCACTGCTCCTGAGGCTGAGGGAAGAAGATTTTCTTAGCCCCTTCTTTAACCAATAGCTCGCCTCACTGAGGTTGGCCTGTCTCACCTTGCCCACTCCCCCGCTCTCACGGCATCAGAGTGTCAGGTGTGCCGGGACCTTGTTGGTTTGACTGAGCTGGCTTCAGCTCCATTCTGGATCACTACATGTAAGGGAGTCAGCAGGCTGAGTAAGATAGTGGCTCAAGGCAGCTGCACCTCAATGGTGAAGGGGCTGGGGCATTATCTGTGAGCTTCCAGCCAGATCTTGCTCGGCTTCAACTTACATTCTGTAAATCAGCCCCAGTGCAGAATCTGATGAGCCATTTAGAATCCCTCCATTTTCATCCATCTCAGTTACAGATGATGGTTTTGCCTTCTTCTACTCAAACCACACCTTCCCAGTCCAGAGGACTTTCAAATTCCTTTTTGAAGATTCCTTCTTTTTGTCTTTCTTTCCTTGTCCTTGGCTGGAGTCAGGCAGGAGTTGGCTGTGAAAGGTTCTCCCACTTAACAGTGGGCTTGGGGCTGAATGGGTGGACTGGATTGTTGAGGCATAGCTTGTGCCACAGCGGCAGTCAAGCCTGAGGAAACCTGTTGCTGCTGTGAAGAGGTGGCTGTCTGGAAAATTATGTAGATTTGCTGTGGGGGGGGATGGCAGGGCAATGGGACAGGCTGACTTTTACAAGCTCTTGGAAAGTCTTCAGGTTTTTAAACTAGAGGGTTTTTCACATTTTTCTTTTTCCTTACATGCTTTCTAAGAAATCAAAGAAAGGCATCATTGCCATTTTCATCATCTGAGGTCATCATCAGAGCCATCATTGGACAAGGCCCCAAGGTCTGTGTCCCCTTCCCCCACTCAACTTTTCTTACAGAGCCTTTTTGTGCTGAATTTGTGGAAGAGAAGGGCTGGCTGGGCTCTACGTCGGGCACAGGGGGTAGCTGAGCGGGCAGGGGACAAGGAACCTTTTTGTGAGACAGATGCACCATTGCAGCTCCAGGTCTGCATGGAGAATAGGTTCCTCTCCGTACTCACTCCCCATCAGCTTCCGGCTTATATGTCATCTGGGCATGAGCAGTGGTGC